TGCCGGATAAAAGGGTGCGCCGTGGAAAAAAGACGGCCCATGTAAAACGGCTTCCCCGGCCTCTCTTTGCTTCCTTTCACTACGCCCGGGAATGGAGATTGCGCGTCGAATATACGTTAACAATTCTGGCTTCGCTCTATTAAAATTGTACGTCTCGATCTCCCGCGAAAAATAAGAGCGTCCGACCAAATTTTTGTCTGCGGATGAACTTTATGGAACGGCTGCTACCTTGTACGAACACGCTCCCTTCCCTGAATAATTCGTCCAAGGCGGTATTGTCTATGGCGAAAACCGGGTTTACAAACTTAAATTTTTCGATCTCTTCTTGTTGCAGAAATCAATAATAATACTTGGCGAAAATATGCCAATGAAGTGTTTCCGATTATTATATCTTATTTGTACCGAGAACCATTTTTTTCGGATTGATTTGTCCGACCATTTTTTAGTCAGCTAATACTCAATTGCTATCGTTGAATTAAATATTAATAAAAATATTATCTAAGATTTTTTTCGAACGAATAAATCACTTTTTTACGCTAATAGTCGTAGCGACTAGTACATGTTTTGATTTATAAAAATTATAAGATCGAGTTTATTAAAATGTTTCACAATTTTGATAAGAGTGTGAGCTCGAACAAAGAAATGTATTCAAAAATTTCGAACGGAAGCAGTTTTATAATTTTAATAATTATGAGATAAACAATATGGAATCGGTCATTTGATCGACAGTGGTACGTTTAGTGTTAAAAATCGTCATATCTTTTCGAGTTTTCACTTTTTCCGTAATTTTGTTAGTACGTCGATGACAGATTTTCATGTTGGATAAGAAAATTCTTCGTTTCCGTGATTCAGACAAAAATGTGATCGTAAATGCCAGATCTTTATACACAATAAACATTTTCTGCACCGATTAAAAGCGATTTAAGCTGTTTTTCGTTTTTGCGCGTAAAAAGTAGTTAGAATATGCTGTTTAAATTGCGATTTTAGTGAAACCGAAAATGTATAGGTATATTTGAGATGTTCCGAATATTTGAAGACTAAGACGAAATAAAACAAACGAATAAAAAGGTATAAATAGTTATTATGACAAATAATTATTATGATAGGTAATTATATATAGTGCGTACGAATTGTTCTTTCATTTGCAACAATAGCATATTGTCAATCTGAAATTCTTCTCCCGTGACAAGAAAAAGGAATACAATTACGAGCCGAAAGCTGCGTCAAGGTAAATGAAGACCGACAGAATGCAATTCATCGACACCAGCAATTATAGCTCGAATTTGGTATTCGAGCGGCGCGGTCTGGAAGCGTGACATATGCAGCTGACTGATACGCATCGAATTATCTACCCCCGATTGATATTCAACGATGGGTTTCACCGTTGAATCGAGTATATTTCTGTCAGAGATTCCCGAACTTCGGCCGGCTGGTCTTTAATGCGAGCTCACCTTGCTGATACGTTGCCGTTCGAATGACGGCCATGGAAATGTGGAACGTTGGGGGAGAAGGAAGAGAAAGAGTGGAGAACGACGAGGGGCGGGTTGACCGACTATAGAATAGATGCTCCCTTGTTGCTCCAGAAACAATGAGAGTGCTCGACAAAAGCGGCAACAAACACAACAACTCATGGCGTCATGATGTCGCCATGTCCAACAGATGAGGAATACCGATAAAAGCCGATTTGCCGGGAGACGCTTGGCGGACGGCTTTCATAGCGCGTCAACAAAAGCCGCGGGAGCTACCGTTTTCCCCGGTTACGTTTCACGGACGCCGCTCTCTTCGTGCCCGCAACTTTCGAACGGTAATTGCGACTGTGTGTGAGCAAATTTCTGATCGCCCAGGTTTTCGTTTTCATTAACTCCGACGCAAACGAGCGGACCAATTATACGGTGGCTCTCGAAATTGATCGAATATCTCCTCAAATGGAATATTTCCAATTGCAATTTCTGTGGAATTTTTATACTAATTTCTGTACAATTTTTGTACGATTTTTATACATTTTTTCTGCAATTTTTGTACACAATTTTTCTGCAATTTTTATACAATTTTTATACAGTTTTTGTGCAATTCTTGTATAATTTTTATACCATTTTTGTGCAATTCTTGTACAATTTTTATACAATTCTTGTACAATTTTTTCGTATAATTGCTATACAATTCTTATACAATTTTTGTTGAAGACATCGTCCAGCAAATTACTTCGTCTAACGTCTCCAAAGATTTCACGTCGTTTGGATCATTCTGAAAAAACTTGTTTCGTTTTTGAAAGGTGTCCAAACATTTCGTGAACCATGTGAACCTTAACTTTACCGATTATGTGATTTACGAAGTACGTTTCTTGAGTTGGACGATGAGTAACCCGATCGATGATTATAACACGTCTGTTATTATAACTAACTTCTCAAATAACTAAGTGTAGTAACTTATAATTCTAATCGTCCATCATCGATCGGGTTACTTTTCGCCCACGTCTGATATGCATTTCGTAAATCACACAATCAGCGAAAAATGACCCAAACAACGTGAAGTCTTTTGAGGTGCTAGAAGAAGTAATTTTCCTAAACGATGTCCACAAAAATTTGAGAAAATATATACACAAAAATTGGAATTTGCAAAATGTTCCATTTTAAGTGATGGTCGAATAATTTTAATTTAAGTAATCTGACTGATGATTTAGCGTTAGTTATTCTAACTAATTTATAACGTTAAATTATAATCGTTAATCGTTAATCAGATTACTTTTCGTTCAGTTTGGATCCGTTTTAGACTGATTTTCCAAAAATCTCAAGCGGGGTAGATTTATTATTGTGCGACATGTGTGTGTGTTCTTACGAGATTAAGAAATTAGGAAATTTAGGAAATTTAGGAAACTTAGGAAAATTAGGAAAATTAGGAAATGTAGGAAATTTAGAAATTTAGGAAATTACGAAATTACGAGATATCGACAATTGCCGACCCGTTCTTGCGACATTAGAACAGTTCAGATGTCGACAATTCGCGACTCATTTCCATGAAATCAGGATGATTTAAATATCGACAGTTCGTCGCGAATCGGAGATTCGGTGTGCGAATACTTTCCGCAATCACTGCATCAATAATTGAGTTTGGAATTGGCACGTGGGCCGATACTGGACCGGAACCCGTGATTTCGAGGAGGTAAGCACGCCAAATCGTTTCAATAGGAAAATAAAAGTTTAGTCGCCGGGTGCGCGTCGCGCCAGCCATGTAAACGACCTTCGATTTTGGTCGAGTCGGTCGTATATACGGAAGCCCGTCGCTGCGTTATCCTCGTAAATTTGAAAACTTCCACCGAGCAACCCACTTAGTAACATTCTTCTATTCTTTAATAACACGGGCTCGTCATATTACGAAAGGACGGGCGGGGGGAGGGAACTTCTTAAAGTACTTCGAAGGAAATCATGATCGTTCTTTCGAACTGCGGGCCGAGGATTAGGGCACTGCGTCACGTGTGGCTCAGGAAACTCTTTATACTTTGTCACAGTTCCTGCACGATGAGAATTGCTATCGGATACCTTCCAACGAAAATTCCAGCTGGAACCGGTACAATTATTTTCTGTAGAAGCAAATAGGAATGGAAACTTCGACTTTGCTCGTCGAATGAAATAGAAATTGCGAGATTGTGAAAGCTGATTTTTCGGGAAAATCGGCAATTGAGACCAGATAAGAACTTCGTGTAAATAGATTGCAGCGTCAGGCGATCATAAGTTGGAGAAAGTTCGGGAATATTGTAGAATTTGTCAAATTTCAATTTTTCAACAGGTACGTGCGTGGACGAGCATGTGTGCAAGTTAGAATCATAACAGCGTAAGTCATGTTTTCCTTATCGTGAGAAACAAGAAGTATCATGGTTTACTAACACGTGTATTGTTTACTGACCAAATTTATTATTAAGATAGTTCAGGATCAAGTTAATTTATAGTAACTTTATAATTTACTTCACTCGTCTTTTTAACTTTTGAACGTAAGTCATAATTTCGTATGTATGTGGACACGCATAACTCTTCGAAATTTGGATCAAACGATTTTAATCTTTTTTTTTAAGACAGTAGAAGGATTCATTTGTTAGATAACGTGTTAAACAAAAAATGTCTGCAAATGTTACAATTTGATGAAATGAGAAAGAAAATATTAAATCACGTTTCTCAACAGTTTTTATCTGAGCATATAAAACAAATTTAAACAGCTATTTTTGTAAAAATTCTTTTCCCTCGTTATTTAAGTCCTAAGTCTTTTCATCATCTGGAAATGTATTCAACTTGTTAGGTCTAATTTTGGAAAAGATATTTCGTCTCATAAGCTATACAGGGTGTCCCGAAAATGTCTCGTAATCCGGAAATGGGAGGTTCCTGAGGTCATTTGAAGCAACTTTTTCCTTTGTGAAAATTTTCTCCGTTGCTTCGTTTACGAGTTATTAACAAAAAACACTGACCAATGAGATGCGAGCTCGACTGGCGCGCGGCGGCCCAGCCAACGAGTGCACGGAGTCCAGTTCCGCTCATTGGCTCGGTCGCCTCGCGCCATCTGAGCTCGCTTCTCATTGGTCACTGTTTTTCGTTAATAACTCGTTAATGGTGCTTCGGAGAAAATTTTTGTAAAGGAAAAAGTTGCTTCAAATGACCTGAAGAACCCGCTACTTTCAGATTGCGGGACATTTTTGGTACACCCTGTATATCGTTTCATAAGCTCGTATGTCTGCCTATGACTATAGTGTCTGTATGAAACGCTATAGTGTCTTGAACTACATCGACGCAACTAGCCGGAATTTCTTGCCGAAACTATGCAGACACAGTCTCCGATCCCACGATCGATCACAGCAAAAAGATCGATCGAATTCTTTGCATAAATCTTACTAGATCATCTTGGTTAGAATCTCTCAGCAAAACCGGCCACCTTCGAGGGGACAACTCTTGTAGAAATTTCAACAATCCGCATGGTAAACTCGAAACGCAACGCGATAGAAAGATGAATAATACTACCTTCTTTGGCCTGCACGAATCCGTGGACCTCGCAGTAACTTCCGGCGGATCCGGCGGCGCCAGGCGTATCCAAAGTGAACAATGTGTTCGCGGACGACGAGACGCCGTCCTCCGGAGTCTGCAGACTGGTGGTCTGCGACAGCGTCCGTTGCTGATGATGCTGATGATGGTGAACGTGGTGTTGCTGCTGCTGCTGCTGCTGTTGTTGCAGCTGTTGTTGTTGTTGCTGCTGTTGCTGCTGTTGCTGTTGCTGCTGCTGCTGCTGAGCCGCCAGGATCTCCTCGTGCCGGCATTTCGAGCAGCGGCGCATCTCCGAGCGAACACGCAACAGCCAGACCATCCCGAACAGTGCCATAGCAATCTCGAGTCCCGGTGACCTCGATGGGTGCTTCATGCTCGCTGAATCAAGGTCATCGAGGCTCCAGGAGCCGACGCGATGCATAGCACTGACAACTTTATGGGACAATGAGCCGCTTCCTCTGGTCGACGCCGGTTTCTCAAATGATCCTGGGTCCTGTTGCGCGCCGCTTCGCCTTCGATCCCAGTCGATCTCTCATAAATTCGGATTGTTTCTTTCGAAGCGTCCGTGATCACCGACGTTCGATATATCTAGGAGGACTGTCTAGCTAATTTCGATCGTTAACAAAGTTCTAACGCGCCGCTCGGCTACTTTGTTCCCTCCGTCATCGACATCTCGAACGCTCGTTCCTCGCGTCTCTATCCCTCGAATACCTCCCGTTTCATTGTCTCATTTCAGAGATCGTCTTTGTCGCGTCTCTCTCGTTCTCTCTCTCTCCTTCTCCGCGTTTGTTCTCTCCCATCTTCTATCCAGGCAGTGTATCTCCCGGCGAATCGTTCTACCGACCGCGGAAATTCAATTTTTTATCCGCGACAGCGCCGCTAGCATCAAGATCCCTCTCCGGGCGTCCAATGGAACCGAACTTCCGTAAATTCTTTGTCACTTCGCCGCCATCCCTTTCCGGGCCCCGAAGTATCGACGGGATCCTGCTTCAGCCCAATTCCAGGTCGGCAGACGAGCCGGTGCGGTGCTCGCGTGCGCCACGTTCCATCGATTCCGATCGCCTAACTGCTCCCGCGGAGGAGAACCAACGGCGTCCTTGCCCCGCGGATTTGTCGTGCGGACCGAGGATCCTCCTCGCTGTCGATCCCGATCCACATTTTTCACCGGCCACGTGTCCGTAGCGAATTCGTCAGTATCAGGCTGTGGCCGATGCTGCATGGAAGTCGCGCCGCGCTCGGATCCTTATCAGCCGAGGAACGGATCACTTCGCAGCACGCGGCGCGGAAAGACCGGGAACGATCGATCGATTCTTCCTGCGGGCCACGTCCATCGATCCGGCCGTCGATCATCAAACCTCTCGAATGGTCGTCTCGAAGGCACACGATTCTCTCTCGAATAAAGCCGAGGATAAAGAACGCCCGGTCTCTCGGGGCTGGTGGTCAGGTTTTCCGGCTTGAGACAAGGCTTTTCTTCTGGCAGTGCGCGCCGGCTATGGGACTAACGAGGCCGGGAACTTCGGCGGGCGAAACGATTACGGCTAATGAAGCCGGCTCATGGACACTTGGGTTACACTTGGTCCCGGAACGGCTACTGCAACGATAACGGCAACGACGACGCCAACGGCAACGGGCAACGGCAACGGCAGCGGGAATGGCAATGACAGCGGCAGAGAGCGAGTTCACTTATAAAAGTAGAAAAGATTCCATTGAGCTTGGCCGCGGGTCGTAACACTTCGGAGGAACTTTTCAGCCGGCGCGGCGCGGCGCACGACGACGAAGGAGAGGTATCGTTCTTCGGCTACCGAAGTTTCCCGTCTGCCCCGCCGGTGCCGCGGAACTTGGAACGAGGCGGACTCCGCAGCACTCGAGCACTCCGGCGGCCGTTTCAACCGCTGCGTCTGTTTTCTCTCGGCGATTCTCCGTGGCCCATCGAGTTGCGCGAGGCTGACGTCTTTCCGAAGGCAGCCTCTCGGAACGGGGAACCTCTCCCATTGAGACAGCACTTCCGGCCACCCTGTATTTCACTTGGTACGCATGAGTGGGCCGGCCGGATTCTTCCTCGGCGAGGACACACGCCGGGGCCGAGCGTCTACAGGCTAACGTTTGATAGCACCCGGCGATAACGCGGTTCCCTCCGAACGTTGCAAACCGTGCTCCAAGAGGTTTTGCCTGTCGTAACCACTGGGCCGGGAACGCTCGATAAAGTGACCCAGCTCTCTTTCTTTCTCTCTCTCTCTCTCTCTCTCTCTTCTTCTGCTTCTTCTCTCCTCTCGCTCGCTCGCTCTCTTTCTTTCTCTCTCGCTGCCTTTATTCCGGCAACCGGCGATCCGATCCAGCCACCGTTTTTTCGATGAATTCTATTACGGAGTTTTCGGGTCGTCCCTTTCTTATGCCGGCCTGCAAAAGTCACGGATGGCATTCAGCCTGGCCTCAGTCGGGATCCGACTACCGAAAGGAAACACACTCGAACGGAGCCGACGGTGGTTTTCCTTCTGCGCTCGGATTTCGACGGGCCAGGATTTTTCGTTCTTTCGTTCTTTCGTTCGTCCGCCGCGTCTGTTACATTCGGTAATCTCGCGTTTAATACGAAGTCGGGGCCACGGGTGGGTCTCGGATTCGGAGGTTCCTACTCGGGTCGAAGGCGATTTCTTTCACCGTCTCGGATTTCGAAATGTAATTTTGCTTCCATTGTGCAAGAATTAGATCTCCGAACGCGGAGGTCGATCTGCGATCGCGTAATGTTCCGCGAGTCTACGCGGAACCACGGGAAGAATGTAACTAGACTGCGGATTTTATGCATTTGTGGCGAATTAAAATTCGTGGCAAGATTTGGGGAATATGGTGGTACTGTTGTGCCGTGCTCGACACATTGAAAATGTTAAGAAAAGAAATATATGTCTATGTATCTCCTGTAGACAATTTTTATTGTACATAAAATGAGTAGATCGAATTGAAAGCCGTGAAAATATTTAAAGAATACAGAGATACTGATGGACTATGTCGAACGCATTGAAATTACAGAATCAAAATTTGTCTGCTTTAATCGCAAGATGCAGGAACTACATAGATATACATTTCTTTCTTTAATAATTTCTATGCGTTCAACATTGTACAACAGTATCGCCATATTCTTTGAATCTTTTCACAGCTTTTAATTCAGATGCAGGAACTACATAGACATTAAAGAAAGAAATATATTTATGTCATAAATATATTATAATATTATAATATTATCGCCAGATGCAGGAACTACAGAGACATTAAAGAAAGAAATATATTTGTGTCATAAATATATTATAATATTATATCATAAATATATTTCTTTCTTTAATGTCTATGTAGTTTCTGCATCTGGCGATTCAAACAAACAATTTTGATTCTACATAAAATGAATAGATCGATT